AACCGGCGAGGCTGACCGTAGATGAACTCTCACACATTCTAGACGCTTCTTATACTAATCCTACCCACAAGGGACCCGACGCTAATTACGCACGAGCTAACAAGCTCCCGTGCCGGCAAAATAACCATTTGTGTAAATCTCGTGCCTCGCTTGGCACAAATTACATTTAAATTAATCAGTTTGTAGCTGCTCTATTATAATTGTATCAGGAAAATAACGATTACATTTTGGCTTGGACAAATAGAAGACATCGTCATGGTGTCTGGGTCTCAGTTTGATTATAGCGTCGATATTAACCGACCGTTTTTATACCCGCTTAATACAAGCAACATGCCCTCTTTTTAACCCGAAGTATATGTTAAATAATTGTACGAACTTTAATCTTTTGGCTAATTAACGGATAAGCTGTAATTTCCTATACTTAGCTTCCATGAAAAAAAGATGTCCCACTTGGGAAACGGGCAATTAGCTAGTTGTCTAGACGTGCAAGACGTTAACTCAGTCCTACGCCCACACTATTCCGATCAACAAACAATCGATGCTTGACTGAATATTTGTGTTTACTTTGCTTGATGTGAACTTCAACGTTTCCCTCGATTCGCCATAGGCAGTCTTCTTTGCGTGGTAGTGTCAGAGATGACGTCATGATGACGTCAAATTTGTACTATGTATGACGTGTAAAATGTTCAAAAACTCATGCAGGGTACAGAGATGGACAGAGTTGGTTGCTTATTCATGAAGTATGAACCCTCTTCTAGATCGCATTTGTAGGCGTTTGAATGGCTTTCGATTCCCAATCAAACTGCATGTTGCCTGCGTTTCCGGCGTGTATGAACCATAAGCATTGTATTAATCTTGGGTGAAAAACGTATTGCGCATGTCGGAAAAAAGAGCGACTTATCGGAACAATCTCCTTCATAATTTAAATTGATCTATTCCTCTCTCTTTATTGATAAGGGTTGGTACCGCGTCCAGGGTTCGTATATCGCATTCGCTGGTTCGCTTTGCTCGTTGGTTCGTTCACTGCGTTTGTAGTTGGCTCGTAGTAGGTCAGTGAGATCATTGGTTTGTGGTTGTTTCGTAGATGCCGGTCGAAGTTGGTTCGCAGGTGGCTCGTGGCTGGTTCGTAGTTGGTTAACAGTTGGATCGAGCCGGATCGAGTTAGATCGTAGGTGTCGTTTCGCAGTTGGTTCGTAGCTAGGTCGTTCGTTCGTTTGTTCGTTCGATCGCTTGTTTTTGTTTTAGTATGTTCTGTTCCGTTCATCATCCTTTTAAATATAAAAATCTTTATCAACTGACATCATATTTTAAAACTCGTCTATTAACCCTATTCACAAAAGATCAAAAAGATATAATTATTCAAAATTCACTGAAAACATCTCCAAAAATAGCAATATTAGAATAGTACACTATAGTGCTTTCAAACAATTGTTTCAAGTCGAGGATTTTTTGTCAATACAATAAAATGTATAAAAACTGACCAAAATGCAAAAACTGCTTGAAGGCAATAGAGTAAGACCGTAATGTGTGCTATTCTATTTATTGATTACTTATTTACTTAGTATCCATTCTATTGTCACTGTGTTTATTGTCATTCGGTTTGTGTGCCTGAACGTACGCGGTGAAAATATCTGACTAGTGTCAGTGTGAATTCTCGTGTAGATTTTAACTTTATGCTGTTTTGTGGATTTAAAACCTAAAAAGCTCCTTACTGAGGGTCTAAAAAATAGAATATAGGAACCAACAATTAACAATGAATCGGTAGGAACCCTATTGCACCTGCAGTAACACGGGAAGGCCCAGCTAATCGATATGCAAAGACAAACCAATCAGAGGGGAGGATATAACTAACACTGAAACAAAACTAGAGGGTCAATAATCACAATAATATCGGCCTGCATTTTATATCTGGTTTTCAAGTGTTTTTAACTTTCAAAATTGCCTTGGCGTTTCTCTGTTAACTCGTTTCTCATGTTGGAAAGTCAATGTTGGATACGAAGTGTGGATTTTATTCTTCACTGATTTTGATGTGGAGCCAGTAGCTGCATCAAATGCATTTCGTAACGGATGGAAATATAACTTGGAAGTTCGTTCTATAAGCTTAATTGTACTTTTTAATCTAAACAAGGCAACTTTTGAAATAACTGAACAAATTAACCATCAATGGTGAATCGCACTCGAGTATTCTGGTTTTGAATGACTTTTATCTTTGAAGTTTGTCAAAAAGAATCCGTTGGAAAAATTTAGAAGCGAATTATGGATTACAGCAAGGGAGACGAAGGCATGGACGAAATGTTACCAATTAAAGTCGACGTTACGTGTCGGCAGGAAACTAAATGCCGTGAAAACAGAAGAATGTCTTTACCTGTCATCGACGACACCAAGACTTTTAGAGTTCGTGGTTTTACCTGTCATAAAAGTCAACCAATTAAACAAACATTGAATTCAAACGCCAAACCTTTAGCAATGGGACAAGGACTCGACCTGAATCCAACTAGGCAAATGTATTCCGACCGGCGAAGTACGAGTATGCCTGAGTTTTATGGGCTAACAGAGTTCAGGGCAAAACACGATCAGAAAGAAATAAGTAAAAATAAACTTCGAAGAACGAAAGCAAAAATTGATAAACATTTGAAGGATGAAAATTCTGTAGGACTCACTGTCTTATCGACTTCTTTACGACCAATGCTTGACAGCAGAGATGAAGTATTGCATAAGGAAGACAAGGACAGCCAAACTGAATACCAGTCACGAAGAAAGACTTATTTACCTCGAATTAATCCAAATACGAAACCTTCACTCGTAAGGAAAAGAAACGTGGAATTTTCAGAAATTAAGTTTAACCCGGATGGACCGTAAACAATTGTAAAAAGTTTAGAATATAATCCGCATATGCATAATAAACAAGTACATATCTATACTATTAAACAGTTCTGTAGAACTACTAAAAAATGATTGCATATTGCTTGATGAAGTCGAATAACTAAAGTAGAAGAACGGAACGACTTCAAGTCAAACATATTTCATTACGCCTTTTTAAGTTCTCCTTCACTCATCCGATAAATAGCAACTAAATAAATGGAAAATTCATAAATAAATGCAGATGGTAGAGGTGATAAAATCAATAGGCTCATTATATTCTCTAATCAATAAGGGCTTATATATATGTATATATGTTTGATTTTTGAGATTTTTTATTGGGGTTTTGCCCGCCGTGTCAAGGGCAGCCTATGAGGATGTTGGTACACGAGTGCCAATGTAAAGCAAAATTTCAAAGAATAAAATTTCATACCCGTTTAAATGAACTGAAAATGAACTGAACAATTAATAAGAAAAGAAAAGAATCAAAAGAAGTAAATTAGTGAAGATGCAGCCTCCACCTGGATGGATGTAGCCTGAAAAGTAATAATTATCACACTAAAGAATTCACAAAAATTCTTTTCAAGGCATTTAGTTCGAACTGAGTGAGAAACCTTTCATATTAAGCATTTTCTTGAGTTTTTTGATCTTGAAAACAAATCTTAGGCAAATTGTCTAGCAGGTTTCGTCAAGCATTTTTTGTTGAATGTAAGCCTTTCAGCAAGTCTAGTTTCTAGGCAATGAGAAGAAAAGAAAAGGATAATTACTGTGCTTACGTTCACAAAATTACTACTATTATTATCAGAATAAGAATCGCACGAATGTTAAAGTCTCTTATTAAAAAGTGAAATACGACGAAAAAATCGGCCGGCGAAATTCCTAGTCAACGAAATTGTCGTACGTTACGTGCCTACGGGTGGAAGAACTAGGGGACCTAGGGAGATGGATAAATTCTTGGCAGGAATGTAAAATTATATTCTAATGCTTTTTTGCTTCTATAACTAAGCCTTGGATATTGTGCCACAGGGGGAAAAATTTTCAGTACGTGATGAGCCTATTTCCGCTTTCAAAAGTAAAAAAAAACTATTCTGTCTCGGCGGATTATATGATTCTGTTTTTTTACTATAAACAAGAGCAGCGTGGAGCAAGAGGAAAAACACTTTTGTTGGCTTCCTTCCGTTTAATTTCGAACTGTGAATAGCTTATTAATTAAGCCAACGGAGATGACCGAGTAGAAGGAAAGTAATACAAAATGGAACTGAATATTCATGTTCATTGTATCTAAGAGAATATGATTCTCTCGTTGCTGTGACAAAATGTCAATCTCGATCATATCCAGAGCCTGCGTTTCTTCTGGTCTGCTGCGAAGAACGAGGAAGTCCCTTGTTCTTACCGCAGGCCAGGAAAAAAAAAAAAAAGAAAAGAAAAAAAAAAARAAARAAAAAAGCAGGCTCTGGGTAAGAGATTGACTAAATGTTTTCTTAAACACATGTACGCATGCACATGAAGAGGGCAGGCAAGACAAGTTCCACGATGAACGGTACAAACTGTGTAGCATGCTCACAGCTTTCATTTTCTAGCGTTTTTAAAGGAAATAAAAGGGAAACTTTCCTCGGCAGCAGGCGTTAGTTTCGGCCACAAAGGATACCTCTTCTAAAGGACCGGTCAGTATTTATCGATATTTTTTGCAATATTATAAAGATCAAATGATTCCCCTCCCCCAAAATCATATTTTTGATATAATAAAGGTTGCTACTGAATGTTCCGACCTTGAGGGGGGATCAAATGTTTTTTAATCAACTGGAGGAAGGTGGGGGACAGCTAAGAACTGACAGGTGTTACCAGGCGATATATATTGGTCGGTCCCTAAACACGTTTTGACCCGGTTAATCAATAATCCTATTTTCATCCGACGGCTAGGTCGTTATGGCCTCCTCCATTTTACTAATTCCCTACCTGGGAGAGCTTAGTAAATAATAGAGAACATTAGCTTCAAAAATATTCCAATCCTCAAAGTTTTTACCCCCAGAATGGGAATTAGTGCAAATGTCACCTTGGTTGCCCAATCCATAAATGACGAACATTTCTGTGTCACTGAAACGTACAGAAAAAATACTAGAATACAGAGTCAAAAGCAAGACTGAAAATAGAATCGTATTTAAGATTACATTACGTCTTACTGCGATAAACCTTGACAACGATGTCTAGATGTAAGGCTAACTTCTAAACATTCTGCGTTGCTAGGTAACCTTGATAACAAAATATTGATGTCAAGGGATCTCTTGTAGACCCTAGCAACAGGATATGTTGCTAAGGAAGTTCATAGCAACATCTAAATTATGGCTTCCTTGATTTCAGCCAAGGCGCGACTCTTCTAACGGTGTAGTGGAGGAAATAAATGACACAAATACGAACACGAAAATATCTTTAAGGTTACAATACACTTAATTACATTCACGTTTTCATGAAGAAGGTTCAAGTTACGGTTGTAATTTTTTTAAACACCTTTTCCCCTACAGACATTTTCTAATATTTCAATTAATATATTCAAGTACTAAGGATACATTTGTTTGATAATTTTTAAATAATTATTTTTTTGAAATTTCTTGAGTTGACTCTGGGTACAAGATTGAATAATCAAACAAATGCACCCTTAGTGGGAGGGGGAGGGGGRAAATGTTTTGATTATAACATTGATTTTCTATTCTATATTTTGTAGACAGTAAACATAACATCTAGGAGGAATTCTAAGCTAAGATTTGTCACTATACATCTAGTTTTCTAACGTTTCTATGAGTCGAAATGATATTTTTTTAAATGCAAACATAAAATTAATCTTTTTTTGGTCAGGACAACAAAATGTTTAGTACTAATCTAGTTCAAATTCAGGGAAAATGTACAGGAATGTGTTTAGGCTAAGCTTTGGGTCGTTTTTCTTGTAGTGAAAAAAAAAAGAAAGAAAATAAAAATATGGTCATGATATGGATAGACAAGTTGGAACTTGAAGTACTTCAACTATAAGGCACCTTAATGTCCCAAAAAGGGTCCTTAAGGGTCTAAATAAGGGACCTTAAAGTTGGAACTTGCAGTACTTCAACTTAGAAGTGCAGTCAATTGTAGTTTCCTCTAGTGGAGATAGTAGAGTGTGGAGGCATTCCTGATGGCATATGAGGATGATAATTATACGTTAAATTGCCTGGATAATACTCATTGCCAGCTCCCTTGTTCTGGTCAGCGCCAATGTAATAAGAGGTAGGTTGGCTGGGCGTGGCTTGGTTATGTGACATACTTTGATTTTGGACATGAGGCATGTTTCCAAGAAAATCATTTCGGTTTTTCATCCCATGCTTTCGATTCTGCTTGTTACTATCCTTATATTGGGGCTGCCTTGCCGTTCCAACAGCATTCGGATATGTATACCTTTGGGCTTGGGAAACGTTTCCATGGTGACTTGCGTGAGACTTGTTGTTGAAATGTGGTCTTGGGCGCCAGGACTGATTAAAATATTGCTGTTGTTGGGGCTGTTGCTGGAAGTGTCCAGACTGTTGTTGATGTGGCATTTGTTGTGCTTGCTGCTGGTGTGTTGTGTGGCTAGTGTGGGCAGTGCGTTCAGATGTTCTGTCATGTTGAGGGGTTGAATCTTGACTTGTTTGTGGCATAGTGGAATGCATTTGGAATGATGCTTGCTGGTAATTCTATACACAAAAAAATACATTCATATATCACTCAATAAGATAATTTTTAACAGATGGACAGGCATGCATTTTTTAAGTAGTTGACCTCCAACTGGACTCCATATCATTTGCTCAGCTCACTTCCCGGTGCTAAATTGGATGGAACACTCTTTCGTGTGTTTGATCACAGGGAGCCTATTTACATATCAACAACATTAGATACCATAGGGGAGTTATATATAGGAAAACAAGTCGAGCATGAAAAAAATGTTCTAGTGCATTTTTTATCGATATTTTTACTTTTCATTTAATGGAGGACATCATCTTGACCTTGAATTTCAAAAACATTTATTCAATTGTTTTGATTTTATTTCCACCTATCACTTTTATCTAACTTGGGCTCCCTGTGGTATGATTCATTACATCCCTGCTCACATGTAATCTCAAGTCCAGGAATAAAACCCAAGATCCCAGAGGAGCCAGGCAAGCAGAGCTTTCAATAATATTTGTAGTAGGCGGTTAGTTCTTAAAAGTAGGGGACTGAAGCCACTGGTGTTTGTATATTACTTTATTTGGCAATGAATTAATTTTTTGTCAAAATAGCCTGCGCCGGTAGTCGCCTTTTATTGAAAGCTCTGGGCAAGTGCACTACTTTCAAGCTACTTCCAAGCCCTCCACTTTCACCATAGGTGCAATACCCTACCTGGATTCCTTGATAAGCAAGTTGCTGGTGATGCATATTTGCATACATCTGTTGCTGCGGCATGGATACCCCTGGTTGGGGATTGGGTTGCATCATCTGGTCTTGCATAGTTGTTCCTTGGTACATGTATAACATCTGTTGGTTATTCATCTGATTTGTCATATTAATCAGGAACTGGAGGGAAAAAAGTTTTCGATGTGCTTAATTTTTAAGTAAAGTTAACTTATTTAGAGGAGAGTAATTCATGGTCCCCACTCCGACAAAAGTGAATCAATTATATGTCGTAATATGTATCAGGGACTGCAGGGGGGGGGGGGGTATAGCCTCCCGAATAATTTTAATTTCTAACTTTGAAATATTTCAAATTACTTATTTAAAATGTCAATAGCTAATGCAGTAATTATTATGCTGTAAATGTGGGGTAGCCCCCCCCACCCCAATCAAAATTAAGTTCTGTGGTTCCTGTGTATATAGTATGTTTTCCCATTTCAAACCCTGAAGGACATCGGAGCACCCTAATTTGAAGGCACTAAGATTGGAAAATATAAGAGACTACTATGCAAAAGAAGGGAAAAGCAGCCCCTCCCCCTCCCCCACAGTCCCCATTCTTTATCTAGCAGTAACATCTATGAGTAGGTCTATTATTAAATTACATTACTAAATTATCAATGTTTTCATACCTGGTGGTAACGGTAACCTAGATTGTAGAAGTATCTTAATGTAGGTATATCTGCAAAATAATTAAACGGCAACACTTTCAGACAAGAAACGTTTTTAGATATGATGTCTGAAATATACTAGATCTTCCCGGTCAAAAGTTAAGAACCGTAAGAAACTCATACAGGGGTTGAAACATGTAACTGCCATACATTTCTTTTGTACAATGCTGCAGAATATTGCACTTTTTTCTTTACAAATTTCTTTCCAGTAAATCGAGTTCTCTTGCTTCAAAAATTCCCAAAACTAAATCAAAGACAAATATCCCAATTGTTTGATTGAAAGACTCCAAAAATCTGCTCTAAGACTTGGAAAGTTCAGAGAGAAGTAAGTAAAAGAAGCGGCCATACTCATAAAACCAAACTCATAATAATTATAATTCAGATATAGTTTGATACCATATTTGGAATTATTCCAAATGTGGTATCAAAACTCCTAATTTGCATATCTGAATATTCTGGAGCACGGTATCGTGTTACAAGCGGAAATAAGGCTAACCCTGAGTTAAAAAACCTGTGATTAAGGAACACAGTGGTATTTAACTAATTTTGAAAATGATTTTTTAATTACTGAGTATATTCCTACCTTCTGGCAAGTCATTTCCATTTTCATCTACTGAAAGTACGCTAGGTTGCAGCCCATGGGGTGGTGGTGGGAACGCATATGGCATTATATACTGCAATGGAGCCTGGTTTTGCTGTTGGACAGTAGATACAGATGACTGGAGACCCTCATTTGCAATGGCTGATTGGAAGGTTTGGATGTCTTTTTCAATGACTTCTTGAGGAAGCTTTGAGTCCTGCCAGGACGGGTCAGATTGCATTATTAGTTATGTGTGGGTAACTTTTTTTCACTTTCATTTATCAAAAAATTGGTGAGGAGCCATATTCCTGTAAGGTATTAAATATTTGCCTAGAGATTGCTGTTAAATAATTACTCTCCTCTCCTACCCCTGAAAGAGATAGCAAATAATTTACTCCCCCCCCTCCTTGAAGTATCTTTCCAAGCATCCAGATAAACTTTCAAGCTAGTACTATGAAAAAAAAGCAACGCAAAATACCACAAAATATAAGGACAAAAGGCAAATATGAAAATTTAATTCTCAGAAACGGAAAAACTTGTGGCCCAATTTTCAAGTGTTTTGCTATTTTAAAGCATGGTGCATACTTCACAAGAGAATTTTGGCTGCCAAATAGCTTCAAAATTCCTTATTTGAAAAAAAGCCAGCTTGACAGTGAAATGTGTCTGTTTAACTTACAGCTATCTGTGCATGAAAGCATGCAAGTACTTCACTGCCGGTCATACTTTTTACCTTAGAAACAGCAGTGTAGTCCTCTGTACTTGGTGATCTATAACCTGCAAAGAAAGGTAAGGGAGATAAAAGGGTGAATCACTATTTATAGGCTGTAATGAATAAATGGATGGATTGGATGACAAATGGGAGGGTAGATGGAAGGTGGGTAGATCGATGGATGGGATGATGAATGGGAGAGTAGATGGATAGGTGGGTAGATGGATGGGATGATGAATGGGAGGGTTAAGTGGATGGATATGTTGGTGACAAATGGATTAATGAATGGATACAAGGACAGGACAGTTGATGGATGGATGACTTAAAGAACAAATGAATGGATGGATGGGACTGAAAGGATGGGTGGATGGGTAGGAGGAAGGATGGAAAGACAGACAAACTAACCTTGTTCACCTGTCTGATTAGGCCTATTTGTTCCATTCACTATCAAGATACCCTTCTGTGACTGGCCGTAGGGAACTGCTGGGATTTCTTTGTGCTTTTCTGCAAATGTGACAGTCTTTCTTTCAGGAGTAGCACCAGTACTAATAGCATCAACTACCTTTGTTTTGTAGTCCTTTACAGGTTCTTCTTCCTTCACGCTGTTTTCCTCCACAGCAACATCACTGGTTTGTTTTACAGTGGAAGACAGAGGCTCTAGAGGTGGTTCTTTATGGCGGAGATCAGGGGTACTTTCAAGGTTTTCATTAACATTAGGCACAATAATTTCTTTCTTGTCTTCATTCATCTCATTTTTAATTACTGGTTCTGTTATCTTGTCATGTAATTCAACTAAAGATGGCACAATATTCTTGTCTGTTACACTTGTTTCAGAAGACCTCGGAGGAGATTTCAGCTGTTGTGTGAGCTTGCTAGGAGGGGAGGTCTTGGACTGTTGCATAAGCTTAGCAGGTTGTGGAATCTTGACTTCAAAGACCTGGCCACTAGCTTTGCTGTGTTTTACATCAATCGGCAATGGCTTCAGTTGTGCAGGTTGGAACTGTTTGTTCTCCATCTCCAGAGCATTTGCTTGCTTCACATTAGAACTAGCAGGCTTGACCTCTTCAATTACAACCTCTTTTTCCTGGACTGGCTCTGCTTCCACATCTTCAGTCACAGTAGACTCTTGTGGTTCTTTCTTGTCAAAAGCATTTTCATCCTTGTTAGAAATAACTTCCTTTGTTCTTTCTTCAAGTGTTTGTTGTTGGTGGTTTTCTGGTTTTCTGGTGGTAGGGGAAGTCGCGGGTGAGATGGATTGGTTAGCTGTTTCATTTGCTGGCTTGGTCTTTAGTCGGCTCCAGAATACGGCAGGGCTGCTTTCGATACTTGCAGAGCCTTTGTCATTTTCTTGAGACTTTTCCTCTACTTGTTGTGTTGGCTGTGAAACCTAGAAGAAGAAAAAATTTATAAATTTAATTGACACACTTCAAAGTCTTTTTTATTTTTTTATTTTTACAGTGCTTCCCTATTACATGCTAAATCATACAATTTGCTGTCACGAGAAAATGTTTGTGGGAGCCGATATTTCGATTTATAAAATAACTGTTAAAAATGTCACATTCTGATTGGTTCTTCAGCGCATGCTTTATGAGAGCATACAGCATGTGCTCACACTTTCAGTTGCGTCATTCCTATCTAAAATAATGGTTATTGTAATTTGTATTTTATAAAAGAAATAAAAAACTTTATTGCTGTGCTGTGTAAGTTGTGCTTCTCTTAACACTTCTCTCGGGTTATGCCAACCCCCCCATGCTTTATAACTGCACACAGCACATGCACTCTATTTCTTTATTATGGTGAAGTTGCCTGAGAGTTCAATCGTCTGAACTAATACAGTGTTCAGTCGCAGACTTCAACATCAGGCGACTGAACCATGTATTACGGGTGACTGAACCATGACTCCAGGCCACTTTAGTTCAGGTGACTGAACTCTCGGGCGACTTCACTGGATACCGGTATTTTGTTGCAGAACTTAAACAGAAACACTCTACCTTTATTTCCACATCAGGAGGCTGGGTGACATCGACAGCAGCAGAAGCAGATGTGGGAGAGACTTGAGCAGTACCTCTGACAGGAAGTGCAGGGAAGGCCTTAGCATCTTTTTCTTGTAGCTCAACAAGTTTTAGTTGCTCCTGTTAAAATAGTTGGCCAAAATTAAAAACCAATGGTTTACAAGAATTTCCAGAATTTTTTTAAAGGGGGGGGTTATAGCATTGATTGAGGTGGTGGAGAGATATAGCAGACCAAAGGGTTAGGGAGACGATTATTTGCTGCTGGCGAGTATGGTTGTTTCAGGTCCCACACACGGCGTATAGAAAAAAAAGCGGGCGAAATGTGTTCGGCACCCCTGTTTTTAATAAAACTCGCGATTCTGTTGGTGTTGTCATGAAAAAAATAATAATAATAAATCACAATGGCTCTCATAGGGGGGGTTGCAACCCCCAAAACCTTCCCCTAGATCCGCCACTGTCAAATAACAAAGAGATAGTAGCCATGTTGATTGTATAAAATATATGATGGAAGGTGATACAGAGTCTGTTGTTAGATATCACAAACATGGTCATGCATCATAATGTAATGTGCAAACAAAGAATTAAAGCAAAGTGGTGGCTCTACTAATAAGCATACCATCCCACAATCAGCAAAAAATACCTCGAGACCCAGAAAGTTCAAATCTAATAGAAATAAGCATTTCTCCTCCAGCCCCCCTGTCCTTAGCAATGTAAAATGGACCAATGCTTATTTGCCACCAATCGTTAGCCCAAACAACACTGATACTAGGGAGCGGGGGTTAACAGTTACTGGTAATAAATTTTGGAGCAAAATTTAAAAAATATTTCCATAAAATTAGAAATAAAGCTTTTTTTTTTTTGCCGATTTTAGTCAACAAGAGACCAATCTATCAGAATTGCCAACCATTGCTTACTGACTGGCAAACATTTAATACTAGAATTAATTACAGCAGTACTACTATTAACTCACAGCCATGAATCTTGCCTCTTCTTCATCTTTTACGTACTTGTCATCTTTGGAATTTGGGAAGCGTCGTCTATTACTGTATCTGTCTCTCTGTCTTCCTCTGCCACGAGGTGCATCTTCCTGCAGAATATAAGGTATACTTTGATCTTAGTTTTTAATTTTTCTTCTTTTCCAATGGACTTCTGATCAATAATGGTTATCAATGGGTGGAATGATTTCACTTTTGAGAGAATAGACCTCTTCAGCTTTGGTGTAAAGTTTTCCATTTCAGACCAATGATGTGTTWTTYTYTTAGGTTTTTTTTTTTTTTTTTTTKWGTTCAATKTWTGAGTCTTYTTATGCACAATGGTTAAACATTGAAATGATGCTCTAGGGAATGGCATGTGGTCTGGAATGGAAAACATTATGCCCTTGACATTTGCCGTCTGTTTGTAAGAGAAAAATGACAAAAGATATGGCAGCAATGTTGTCTAATATTACGAAAATAACACAAATCTTTCACATTTTAAGGACATAGTGGCAAGGAAAGTGGATATAACAAAACTGGAAAACCATTGTTGAGAATTACACAGAGTACCATAACATAAAACAGCACAAAATATGTCAAAATAATGAAACAGTAAAATAATAAAATGGAAAAAAATAGTCACTCACAGAAACATTGCCAGTATCATCACCACCCTGAAAAGTTAAAAAGAAAGAAATAAAACCACAAAAAGAAATAAAACACTAAAATGTATGCCATTATAAAGAGTACTACAGCCTCATTTACATCTAGAAATGAACACCAGACATTAAAGCATGTTCTACTTGTATGTTTGTCCTACAAAACCTAAACTTTGTTGATTTCAAAGATTGTCTTGCTTGAAATCAACAAATGTTTCTGTTTTCAGCCAAAACGAACAAGTTAAAACATGTTTTTGTGTCTGTGTTCATGCCTAGATGCAGGCGATTATAAAATCTAAAGAATGTTATATACTGGCTTTCTAGATAAAACACCCCTCCAGAAATAATCTGGGTCTGTGATTAATAGTATTGTTTAAACACTAGTAGATACCCCATGTACATACTTTTCCTGGACCTCTGCGGCCTCTTGGTGGGCGTTTCTTCTTGTTTTTGTTATCATCCTTTGAACCTGAAATGATATTTATTTAAATATTTGTCCTGCACAGCCTTGTAAGTATGTAAAGCCGAATGAGATAAAAAGATGAAAAGAAATAAACTTGTGTAGAATCTAATAAGCAAACACATGAGACTAGAAAAGAATGAAAGAATGGATAGATGAATGAATGAACAAAAGACAAATGAAAGATAAACTGAATAATGGATATAGATTTGAATGAAATAAATGGTAGGAAGCATCACTCAGATGGATGAATAAATGGAAAGATGGCARGATGGATGGACAAATGGGATGGGATAAAAGGAATGGATGAATGAAAAAGGATGACAAGTTTCATTTTAAAGCCATTACCATCTTCAGGTGCTGGTCCATTAGCTGCTTCCTCCTTTTTGTAATATCCACTGAGATCCTTGTAGTTATGGCCTGATATCACAAGCACAAATCAAGAATGATCATGATTGACAGGGCAGAAAAACGGGTTCTACTTTCGACGTTTATGCGTTAATAAGCTTTATATTTCATAAACAGGCTCTTTTGGGGCTGACTAGCAAAATACCAAAATTTGGGGAAGTTGAAGAAATGCGTATTTGAGATAACGCCATGAACGTTGGGAGAGAATATTTTGATCAGCACAAAAACTAACATTTTCGCTTATACCTCAAAGTAGAATTGCTCAAGGTTAGCAGAATTTTGTGAAACATTTAAAGCACAAGAGACACGAATGAAGTACTAAACGTCTTTTAGCATGAATGAGAGATGAAGAAAAAAATTGGGAAAGTAGCAGCCTTGTCGTTTTTCTGCTCTGTCATCATGATCTTGGTTAAGGGTGGCACTCTCTCTCTCTCCTTCTGCTATTTAGTTCAAGCCAGGGGTCCCTGGTTCAATGCTTGGCTGAACCACAAATGGTAATCAAGTTTGTTTGACATAATGTTTCCCTTCCCATGGGTCTTAGGTATGGTTCTCCTACCTCCATAAGAATCATTATTTGAGTTGAGTGTTGTGAGTTATAAATATTGAAAATAGTGGTAGTGTGTGGCAAGAACCTCATAGGCCTTAGCTCCTGTACAAACAACACAAGACAAGGCATATGAACTCAAGATGTTTGTACCCAAAATAGACCACAATGCACCATGCTGCCTATCTCAAAAAAGGTGTATGGAAACAGAAAATGCCAAGTTATATTTTATCGATTAGATTTATGACTTATAAACCTCATTTTGATATCCTATAGAAACCAAAAGCTTAATAACTTTATGGGATGAGCTGTATCAGAGCTACAATCATTAACAAGCCATTTTATCAGCAAGCCAAAAACCTTATCTCTGATAGATTGATGTAGCACAATATATACAAGAGAATTCAGATGTGTACTAAACACCCTCCTGCCTACTGTGCAAGTAAGAATTATTAATAACATTGAGACTATTGACGACATTCCAGGAATATTGTGGAAATGCAAATATTATGCATTTCTTTGTAAAATATGAGCAAACTTTTAATTTTCACAATCAATTCACTTATGTTGACAATGGCTTTCTAAATACTAAATATTGATTGCACTCTAATAAAATGCTTGGCCAGAGGCAGAACCAGGGATGGTAAGGAGGGTGACTAGTCCATCCCCCTCTCTTGCATGACTAAAAAAGTGTTTATAACTGAAAACATTTATCCACATAAACTTTCACTTCATGTTTAATTGATGCTCTCAAAACTTAATTTCCGTCAATTTGAGATGCCATATTTTTATCATTTTGCTCCTATTTCTGGGTTTTCTTTGGTCTTGGCACAAGATACCCTGTACAGGTC